GGACAAATAAACCCCTGGCCCCAGAGAACGTTACATGGGCCTCGAATATACTTGACCATTCAGACTGCATATCATGTATCAAAGGTCATGAAAGCGAACTGCGAGGTGCTCACTATAGACGCTTGACTAAAATAATTTAGGAGCATGTTTGAAATTCAACAATATGATCCCACCTAAAATATTCCTTTCAATCAAAACAATCGTTTAATGGTCCATGAGATAGTCCAAACACTTTGTCTTCCCAAGCACCTTAAAAAAAGATATGGTTTACTTTGTCCTACTGTCCTAAAAATAATAAATATATTGCTGAAACATAGTAACATTATAATTAGCCATATGGCAGGGTTCGCGGGTGCACGAAGCTTACAAGGACATCAAAAACCAGGGTCGGTGTGCCCTGTATCTGATCGGCTTAGGCCTATCTACTAGTTTGATTTGTGTTTGTTACAGTTTCCATTCCATCAAAGATGCCAATGGTGACCTTTGGGATGCCTTTCCATGAAAATACATTTCTTGGGATGCCTGCTTTTCGGTTTATACGAAGTAATATGTTTGCTGGAATAAAAGGACGCAATACAATTTTGGTTTAGAGAACTGTGCTTTAGCACGTTGGTTCTCGGATATATTTCAATACAAACGAGATTGCAACCATATTGTGAAAAATCTACACACGCTATCAATGGCAACTGAAAGGAATTTGGGCTTTTGCACAGGTTTTGCAGATTTATTATGGTGCATCGTTTCACGGGCTACTTCTGCTTCATGAGAGTTTTTCGGTTGGATAATTTAAATGTGTTAAATCTTGTGAGGTATTTTCGATTTTTTACGCAAGATTAGCAAAAATTTTCTCATTTTGGTACACGATTCAAGCAAAAAGAAATCTTCGTACGTTGACGGTAGATGCAGTTTTCAGTGCAACTCACAAGTAACTTACAGAACATACTTTGATTAACGAAACGGAAAACGCACCTGCTGAGTTGCTCAAGACCACACTGCTAACCTAAGAAGCTCGAGTGACAAAGTTTTGCTTTTAGCTATGAAGTGAACGGGAAGTGTTTGAGCCACTTGGTTTCAGATTCTGGAGGCTAATTATTACTAGTTCTACCATTGTAAGCTATGTGTTGAGGTACAATCAATGAAACTTATCTTACCCGGCTCGTATTCTGACTCATAATGAGGCTTCATAAACTGACGGGTCTCAATTTACATATATTTTGAAATAATATAAGTGAAAACGAATATGAGCTGACTAATAATGTGTAGCGGGCCGAAAAATGTATATTCCATAGAAGAATAAGAAGAGATTGCATAACTAAACTGGGGACTGTAGAAGTCCATAACGTGTCCTGTAGGAAAAAAGTATGAATTGCATTTCCACCTCTGAACATAAAAACACTATGCCAGAGTTCAGCTAAGTTATGTAGGTTACCATGACGTCTGAACTTATGGGTAGTTAGGTAGAAAAAATATAGAGTGGTGTATTAATTGGGTGGGCAATTATAATATACAAGTTGCATGGTTTCAGAGAGGATAAAATGCCTAGGCTGACTAATCATTAATGCCTGCGTTTGGACAAAAGCAGTTATTCAGTGTGGTGATTATATTATATTGATATCCGTTAATTTATTTCAGAATAAAAAGTAGTCTAATCGGCTGAATTATGTATAAATGTCAAAGAATACTGCAGAATTTTGAATTCCCAACCATAACCATTGACGACTGAAGTGACCACAGTTTTTTGCAAGGCAATCTCACAACACATTATCGTTCCTTTCAGTATATGTCTTTTAATGCTATGCTTGTTCGCTGTATTTTTTGCCAAAACTAAAAGAAGGCTTAATTGTGTTATATGACACCAAGAGCCCGAAGGGAGCATGAACGGCGACCTGAAGGACCATCTTGCCTAGTTACAGCAAACAAGTAAATGTAAGCTTCTTACATCAAGATAGCAAAGTGTTAATGGCAGAGAATATCAGGATGTTGTAGAGAAACTATCAAGAATACAAAAGATAGAAATAGCAAAATGCAAATAACACATGCATATTTACTTTCTCTTTTATAAAATACTTATCGGTTATATGAATATGGAGGGCTTGAAAATAGCAGACCCCTGCGGTTGGAGGGAATAGGTCGTCATTGTTATAACAGGTTTGCAATAGTGATAACTAAAAG